TCTGCCCTCCCCTGCCCCCCCCCGCCAGCTGCCTGGCCTCTCTCAGCTTCCTCTTCTGGGCCCTGCTCCTTCTTGACTTAGCACCTGCAGGCACGTGGTTCCGCCGCGCTGCCTCCTGCCTGCCTTCTCTGACTCCCTGGGCTATCTCGTCAGTGTAGTGCTATGTCCACCTCCTTCACATCGCTTATCACAATTGTAATACAAATGGTTATTTGTGCAATTAGTTCTTCAGTCAGAAACCCCACCCGGATTGTGCTTTGATGACTCCCCAGTACAGTCATTCCTTGTATCCATGTGGGATTGGTTCCACAGCCTCCCTCAGATACCAAAATCCAAGCATGCTCTTCTCCCTAGCTTCAGTTTTCCCCCAGCAGAGCAAGCAGAGCAAGCCTTTCACATTGACCTCCGCCCTTTGCTCCAGATTGAAACCCTCAGTGGCATCCGTCTACATGGGATCCCGCCCGAGGTTCTGATCTTGGCCTCCGAGCCTGGCGGGGCTGGCCCTCGCATACTCCCACTCATCCGTCCACCACTCTGCCCTCCCCTGCCCCCACCCGCCAGCTGCCTGGCCTCTCTCAGCTTCCTCTTCTGGGCCCTGCTCCTTCTTGACTTAGCACCTGCAGGCACGTGGTTCCGCCGCGCTGCCTCCTGCCTGCCTTCTCTGACTCCCTGGGCTATCTCGTCAGTGTAGTGCTATGTCCACCTCCTTCACATCGCTTATCACAATTGTAATACAAATGGTTATTTGTGCAATTAGTTCTTCAGTCAGAAACCCCACCTGGATTGTGCTTTGATGACTCCCCAGTACAGTCATTCCTTGTATCCATGTGGGATTGGTTCCACAGCCTCCCTCAGATACCAAAATCCAAGCATGCTTGAGTCCCTTACATAAAGTGGCATAATATTTGCATATAACGTATGCACATCCTCCTCTATACTTTAAATCATCTCTAGATTCCTTACAATACCTAATGCAATGTAAATGCTATGTAAACAGTTGTTATACTGTACTGTTTTTAAATTTGTATCACTTTTTATTGTACTTTTTTTTTGTTCTGCAAATATTTTTGATTTATGGTTGGTTGAATCCACGGATGCGGAACCTGTTGACATGGCGGGCCCACTGTATCTGACATGCAGTAGGTACTTAATAAATGTTTCTTGGATGGATGGATGGGTAAATGGGTGGTTGGATGGACGGGTGAACAGATGAGTGGATGACAATAATANGAGTCCCTTACATAAAGTGGCATAATATTTGCATATAACGTATGCACATCCTCCTCTATACTTTAAATCATCTCTAGATTCCTTACAATACCTAATGCAATGTAAATGCTATGTAAACAGTTGTTATACTGTACTGTTTTTAAATTTGTATCACTTTTTATTGTACTTTTTTTTTGTTCTGCAAATATTTTTGATTTATGGTTGGTTGAATCCACGGATGCGGAACCTGTTGACATGGCGGGCCCACTGTATCTGACATGCAGTAGGTACTTAATAAATGTTTCTTGGATGGATGGATGGGTAAATGGGTGGTTGGATGGACGGGTGAACAGATGAGTGGATGACAATAATATCTACTTTGTGAGGCTCTTGTAAAGATTCCATGAAATAATGCATACAATATGTTAATACTCTAAGGTGTTCAAATGGGAAGTTATTATTTCTAGCCCTTAATTTCCTCATCTGTAAAATGGGTCAGGGAGCGTGAGTACCATTCTGATATTCTTGATTTTCTGGCTTTTCAGAAACCTCAGGATGTCAGAACCGTCAGAGTTAATGAAAAATACATGCCCCTGAGCCTCCCACTGCAACCCCTACTGGAGCTATGAAGGCACATGGTTTCTTTTGGCCCCTACAGCTACAAGGGAAGGCCCAGCTAGGGGGCCCTGGAGCAGAAAAGGCGGAGGGGCAAATCCCACGTCCAGGCCCGCAGGCCCCGGGTCTCAGTCTTGCTGTCTTCACTCTGGGCAGACGGCCTCAACCCTTATTTAACTCCAGTGGGAGGGCTGCAAACCTCCCTCAGCCACCCTGGCTCCCCTGGCCCCTCACCTCCTTCCCTCCCACTGCTGGGAGCAGGGTGGCCTCCTGCTCCTGTGTCTGGATCCCATCTCTACTCTCCTCCCCAAGCTTCTTGCTCCATCTGTCTCTCCCATATCTTCTCTCTCTCAGTTGGCTCGATTTCATTAGTGTTCAAACATGAACAAATAGCTTCATCATTTAGAAAGATCCCCCTCCAGCGACCAGCACCTCTCCTTCACCCCGTCACAGCCACACTCCGACAGAGTCCTCCACAGTCCTCATCCCACTCCCTCCCTTCTCCTCACTCCTCAGCCCTAGCATCTGGCCTCCTCCCTGCTCACTGCACAGAACCAGCTTTTGCTAAGGTCCCCGGTGACCACCCAGCATTAACTCCAGCCAACAAGCTCCCCTCCGGTGACTACCCAGCAGCATCGGATCACTCCACCCTTGCTGTGACTCCTTGCCTGGACTCTACCCAGGTTTTTCTCATTCTGCATTAGCTGTCACTTACTGAAGTCTTACTAGGAGCCTTCCTGATCTCTCACAACCTCCCTTTAAAGGAGAAGTTTGAAGTCCTGGATTTAAATTCCAATTCTGCCACTTATTTGCTGGGTGATCTCTAAAAAAAAAAAAAAAAAAGATTTATCTGAGCCCCAGTCTCCTTACTAGTGGCCTTGCTGGTCTGGGGTTGTTAGCAGGGTTAAATAGGAGAATGAATGTGGAATGTTAGCGTAGGACACACACACCGTAAGTGCGATCAGTTGTAGCTCCTAGTATTGCTGCTACTAGCCAGAGGCTCATCTCTCTTCTCCAGCCATGTTTAATCTGTTTGTTCTGAGGAGAGCAGATTTAGGAGAAAATAAGCCAAAGAACGTCTGTGTAGAAGCCAATAGGCATGGGAACATACTGCAAAAAGGAGACCAGATACGAGGATTTCTAGATTATGGTTATGTTTTGTATTTTGAAGGGTGTGGGTCACCCAGTTGTCATTGAGTAGTACACTTAAAACTCTGCATTTCACTTTATGGAAATGTTACTTCAAAAAATCACAAGCAAATACTGAATTATACTTAATGATAAGCATACTGAAGTATAATGATGTTTGCAACTTACTTTGAGATGCATCAAAAAATAAGAAGGATCGAGGGATAAAGAAACGAACAGATATATAATAAAGTAAATACAGCAAAACGATAACAAATTTAAAACCCATGGAATGAGTATATGGATGTTCACTAAGTAACTCTTTCAACCTTTCTGGAGGTTGGACTCTTTTTTTATAATAAAATTTTGGGGGTGTGTGTATCGGGGAGGAATGAGGTTCTTTAACTTCTTCTGAAAACAGAATTCTCCATTTAAAGACTTCCTGGGAGGTCAAGACCAACCCCGAAGTAAAGACTGTTGTTTTCAGCGCTAAAACAAAAGTTTATATGGTTCTTAAGCCCTATAAATCAAAGAAGATGTCAGAGGGAGTATTATACAAAGCTTTGGAATCAGACAGACCTGAGTTTCC